CTCTATAGCTACTAAACTATGGAGGTTTTTTGCTAATCATGCAGGAATTAACATAGAGGGGATGCACCTACAACAGCCCAAGCTGCATTACTTAAGAGTTACATGGAGACCCAGAAAAACACCAAGTAAATTGCAATACAGATGGTGCATGTCAAGGAAATCTAGGTCAAAGCTCCTTTGGTTTTTGTATTAGAGACAGTAGGGGTGATCTAATATATGCTAAAGCTAAAGGAATAGGTATTGCAACAAACATCGAAACAGAAACAATTGCTATTCTTTCAGCTCTTAGAGAGTGTTTGAAGAGAATGTTATGGAATGTTATAATTGAAACGGATTCACTAAGTCTCAAAAAGATCATTCTGAAGACTTGGAGGATTCCTTGGGAAATAATAGAAAAGGTGGAGGAAATACGGCAGCTACTTCAGCAGACTAGAGCAACAATTACCCATATCTTCCGAGAAGGTAATTGTTTGGCTGACTCCTTGGCTAATATAGCCATTGAATCACAAACAAATCACGAATATCACGCTTGGCAAGAGCTCCCTCTGGTGGGAAGGAAGATCATCAATTCAGATAAAGCACAAATTTCTAACTACAGGATCAAGACTCGCAGAATCACTCATAATGATACATAAAACAAAACAGAACAAATCACAAGATACGAGAAGCTAAACAAGAGACACAACAGTTTCAGAAGGAGCAAATACAACAAAGCGGTAAAGCAGGGTAAGAACACAATATAGTTGATTACAATGTATATCAAGGAAATGCAGCTTTGTTACACAGAGCCAAATACTAGCCTAGCAAACAAATACTCTTCAAGACCCGAAAGGGAGAAGAGCTATAGTACAGATATAAAGGATAGGTACTTAACAAAGGGACATCGAAGAGTTCACCTACAAGAAACCTCCAGTAGCTACTCTTCCTTCATCGGTCATTACCTAAAGATAAAAAGAGTTTCATTACGGAATTAAAAAATAAAAAATAAATAAGGAAGATGATATTGAAACCTAAAGCGTTTGATCTTGAAGAAGTGGACAAGCTTTCCACGATCTCACTCAGGCAGCAGAGAAGAAGGGGTTTTGTCAGATCACTTTCCTAAAAAGTGATGGTACCTTAGAGATAAGTGACATTTTTTAGCTTTTGGGCTGGATCTTTTAGATTAGGTCTTATTTAATTTATTTTGGTCTGAAGATATGGGCCATGGCTATGTATTTATCTTCTTATTGAATGAATAAAATGGCCACTGGCAGAAAATTCATATTAAAAAGAAAATACCCTTTCATTATCAATTTTTCGTTTACTTCTTTAAAAATCGTGATATTTTTTAAAAAAAAATTGGATTCACGTAACAAATTTCTCACAAGAGCATAAGCATTAACTTTTGAACAGTCTGAAACCTAAATAAGCGACAAAAAGATAAAAGTGATCAAAATAAGTCACTATTCTAGTAAGTAACTAAAATAGGCTTAGTGGAAGAAAAAATTATATTTTATGCAATATTCCAAACGTTTCCGTTAATCTCATAACGTGTATATTTTAATATATGACAGAACTATTTTTTACACTTTGTAAAACGAAATTATTTCTTACACTTTGTAAAGTGTAAGTTTTTTTACACTTTGTAAAGTGGAAGTTTTTCTACACTTTATAAAGTGGAAGAAAAAATTATGTTTTACAAAGAGGAATATTTTTCACGTTTTGCATTAAATTAAGTTTTGCAGTGTTTGTCATACAATTATATTGATTTGACATATCATAAAAACGGAAAAAATTATTACATTATGTAATTTTATTTTTTTATTCTGAAAACTCCTCCAAGCTCTATTTAAGGACGTTCAAACATAGTACCTTCAACATCTTTAGTCTTCTATTTTTCTTCATTTCAATCACACAAAAAAATGTCTTATAAACCAAAAGTTAGAGTTTCGATTTATTGGGATGGCGAAATTATACATGACGAAAATATCGTTTATTATAATTGTCCTCCCAAACACAATGCTAAATATTCAATTAATGTCCGATATCATAGATTTACTTCATCAATTTATAAAAGAATGGGTATAAATAGTACTAACTATAATTTGATTATAGTCGGAAAATACCCTAATTCATTTTTATCACAAGGACAAGTAAATTTTGGAGAGTGGATTATCTATAATGACGGATTGTTGACCAACTTTTTGAGGGTTCCAAATGACTACATAGATCAAATCAAGTTAACAATATTTGAAATCTATGTTAGGAAGGAGCCTAAGACTAGTCAACAACGTTCTCCTTTATCGGTCGATGTCCATCCCCGACTAGAAAATCGTAATAGCATTGATGGATTTCCAATAACTCAATCTACTGATTTTCCTAATACCTAATTTATATAATTTATAGGGTCGGGATTGTTGTGTTGTCGGGTAGTGCTACTCCAATCTTTCAAGATTTTGATATTTTAGTGTAGGGTCGCTTCAGTTGTCAGATTGGGACCATCAAATTAACATCTTCGAAGTGAAAAAACGTTTGGAAGATGAAGGTGTCCATGAAAGTGAAAGGGGAGAAGAAGAAAGTGAAAAGGTAAAGTAACTTTTCTTAAAGTGTAAGAAATAATTATGTTTTACAAGGTGTAAAAAATAATTATGTTATATATTAAAATATACACGTTATGAGACTAACGGAAAACGTTTGAAATATTGCATAAAAAAAATAAAATTCTTCTACTAAACCTATTTTAGTTACTTACTAGAATAGTGGCTTATTTTAGTCACTTTTATTTTTTTGTGGCTTATTTAGGTTCCGAACTCTCTTTTGAACGAAAAAAATTAAAATACTCTAATTAAGTATGCATAAGCTAATGACGTTCTATATATAATAAAGTAAATTAGCATATTAAAATATTAACTTTATTAATAATCAAAACTCTAATATTTATTTATACAAGTGAAATAACAGAGATTAATAACTATACAAAGATATTTCAATGTAGAAAATACAAATAATTAATTTAATTAAGATCAAAATTTTAAAGATTGTATTTATTTAGATTTTAAATTATTTAAACTATAATTTATGCAACACTCCATCAATGTCAATCAAAACTTGTTTACTTATATAGATAATAGAGAATATCCCTGTCGTTCTAAAAATAGTTATTTTAATTTACTTGTCTAATTTATAAAATTAAATAAAAATTAATATTTTTTTTCTATCCTCGGTATTAAATAACTACATAAAATATTAGTAGTCAAATTTAAAGTTTCAAAGCATTATTAATAATGTTAGTTTAGTAAATACGCCTCTAAATATTTTTTTAAAAAAGGATGTCATATCAGGAAGGGCCAAGTAATATAAAATGCATGGAGTAAGAAAGTGGAGAAAGACAAAAATATACGCATACATACACCCACGCTTAATACATATTATATTGCAATAACGGTCATAAAAATAATGTTAAATTTTGTGACAAATTCTTACAAATATTATTATTCTAATTGTAGTTTTAATGAACATTAAGAAAAATTATAACACCTAGATTAAAATAAATAATATATATATATATAAAATAGGGTAAAATGGGCAATGCATAGAGTAAAGAGGAGAGTTTGATTATGATTCAAAATTGAGAGGAGAGTTTAATTTTTAAAGCAAAATTGGGGGTGAAAATATATATATATAGGATCCACATAGATAGTAAATATGACTTTACTAAGGCACTTTTCAAATGTGCTAGTATACGCACTCGCACAATGCGCAGATAATATTAAATCAATATTTTTGATCATTTCATATTGGAATATCTCATTTGAGCATGTTAAAATCATATAACCTTGAAAAAAATGCAACTATTATATTATCTCTCAATAAAATATGGGGAAAAAATGTCTCAATTCTACCCCTACTCCCCACTCCCCTCATTTTTTTTTTAAAAATATTCTACTCTCCCCACACCTCCACAACCATTCCATGACCCTAATATGCCGACCTCTAATCCAATTTATACGAAAAAAATATTTGTGTAATTGTAAAAAAAAAGTTTTATTCTTCATTTTTTAAATTATATTATTCACATCTAAAGATATTAGATTGTTAATACCCCTCCCCCCCCCCCCCCCCCACCGGCCTCTAGCCAAAATTCATATGAGTGAAAATAATTTCTTCCATCTCTTCCGTTTAAAATTTATAAATAGTAATATGTTTATTATCTAATTCATTGTAATCTAAAAAAATAATCTCCAATACCCCATTTACATTTTTCTTTACTATATTTTAATTACTTTACTTTTCTATAATTTAACTTTGAATTAAATATTTTTTTTATGTTCAACGAATAAGCAGTTGAGTTTTATTTTCTGTTATACCAAAATATAAAAATTATGGACAGTGTGTGTGGTGGACATATAACTAGTAACTACTCATAAAAAAAACTACCATAAACGTGACTTTACAAGTTGCCATGGATATAAAAAAATAAGAAAAAGTAGGAAAAGGAGAATAAAATAAAGGATTAATTACCTAACTACACATCTTCTTTTTTTTTAATCTGCTACTATTTGGGAAAGAATTTGAGAGAAGAAAAATTGAAATTTGAATTGTTTGGAGGTATTATCTGGGAGAGATTGACATCGATTTGATTTGCATGATTGGGGGAACTGACATTTAATTTCCTTTTTAATCTCAACAGGGATAGAATGTAATTTGCTCTTTACACTGTGAGATTCCTAAAATTTTTACTAGATTAAATGAACAAAAAACACGTATAAGACCCATGTATAAACACTAATGTACATAAATCTAGAATTGATTTTGGAAGAGAGGTATTCATTTCACCTCAAACTAGGATAAGCAAGTAGGAAAGTTTAAGAGTGTAATTAAGATATTGGGACTAGGTTGAGTGTATTTTCTCTAGTATAAAATTGCAAGTTGATAAAACATTTCTCCAAATATTCAAATGATGTACGTATAGGGGCAAAAGAAAATTGAAGCAACGTGTAGTTAGCTCACCTTTGTCACAAAAAAAATACAAATAGATTTTGCCTTACAACCCATAAATTTGGTTATACATACATAATTAAAATGAGCCAAGCCCTAACATTCCTTTCAATATTAAGCTTTCACCGTCTTGATCAAATTATACTATCAACACCATCAGCAAAAGAAGGAAGAAGGAATCTAACTAAATTATAGCCGATTGATTAGGTTGAGAAAAAGGACGATGCTCCGTTTTATTAACAACTATGTTTCTCCTCCGGAGAAGGTTAATTTATTGTCTGATTTGAAGCTATGAACTTGAAGGTTCACATTAATCAAGCTTCAAGTTTAAGATATGCCTTGATGATTCCCATCATCTCACTTCCGGGAAATCGACCAAGACAACCTCTAGCAGCTGCTATTTCATTGAACTTGTCAACCAAATCACCAGCAAAAAACTGAAGCTTGTTATTTTTGTCTTCTTCAATCCTTGTACCAGTATCTACGTCTTCACCAGCTTGGACGGATGGAAGGGGAAATGGATCAAGAGAAATACCTGATAGGACAGATTCACCACCCAAAGCACTCACAAAGTCTTTTAAACTACATAATGCAAATGGCACTGGTTCAAAGCTGTGATCTCCATATTCTACAGGTGTGGAGTGGTCTCCAGTGATACAAAGGTAATAGCTAAACTTCCCAGTTGATTCCGCCTCCCAAAGAAGCCTAGCTAATTGACCTATAGCACAATCAACAGCTTCCAGTCCCTTCACTTTGAACACACTTGCTTTATCATGACCTGCATCGTCAATTGCCTGCAAATCCAACAATGAACATATAACAGGAGGAAGTAGAAAAACAGAGTTGATGTAAAACAGCATAAGAAAATTATACCAAACTTTCTAAAACAATCAAATGTCATTCCGCGATTCTTGTGTATGCTTTTGTTACTCTTAAGTCTAAGAAAATATGACCAATGGATAGATCTTTCCCAAATGAAACTTTTCTAACCAGCCTGACAAGCACCTCCGTATTTCTATAAACACATGCTGATCTTATCAGAAGCTTTCAACCTTACCCCCATGAGCTGTTATTTGAAAATTGATTGTCAACAATTGACGCATCATAAGAAAAAGCTAAATTGATTTTGATGTAAAACCTTAATGTGGAGGAACCCAAAATCATAGCCATCAAGTCGACCAGGCTTGTGCTCATCTTCCCCGGGCACAAAAACATTGGGACACGATTGCAGAGGTGCCGAGAGTGCCCTGGCTATGGCAGTTGCTTTTGATGTTAATAATGTCCTATAGTCTCCTGTCGCTCCAGGAGCTTCCAGAATATCGATCCCGAGTGACAAACCCAAGCCAGCAATAATCTTGGTAGGAGCTACCATGCATGGCCAGAGACCATGTATCTTTTCAAATGGAGCAACCTACAGCATAGAACAAATCAGAACTGAGAAATAAGGTTACAACCAGAAGAAAATGACTTTCTTCTTTCTAGCATGTCCTAAGCTGAATTGACTAGTGGAAAAGTTCCACATTAATATCATAACAATGCACACTGACCATGCAAAACACCCAAAAAAAAAAAAAAAACTCACACAGAGACACTTAAAATACACACTCTGCATACCTCAATTCTAATGCCGCATCCTCGTAAAAGAACCAGATTTGCTACATTCTTTCCTTCTGCTGCCCGTTTTGCATTCAATGGATGGGCAAGCAAAATGCGCGAGATTTCTTTAGACAGTTCATTGACAACTGCAGCTGTGTGCTTTGCTTCATCTGTATCATCAAGAGGGTTCGCTTGTAAAAGTAAGCGGTTGTCTTTCAATGGGTCAGTTCCCGATATATTTCCACTTAATTTTGGTCCCTTGACAACCACTCCACATCTATGCTCCGTAGCATACCTAAAATAAACATATATATTGCTCTTTTTCTTCACTAATAGATATTGTGTACAACTCATATTCCAGATGCAGTAGCAAAGAGCAACTTATAATAAAATTGTTTGCATACTATTTAAGTATGGATAGTACACTACTGAGAAACAGCAGTTCCTCTCATAAGAACACCTTTTGGGAAAAAAATTATCGAGCCTAGCATGTAGCAGACAAAGAAAAAGTATAACTGAACCCTGTTGGCTAACATATGATTATGCACATCAGTGATACATAAAGGACAAAGGAGGTCAGAGAAAAGGGACGGAATGTACCTGACTCTAATTTCATATTCAGGAAAAGAGGGCAACTTCATTCCATCCAATGCTGCACAAAGAATCGGCCCTTCTTCTTCAAAATGTCTATCAGCCCTCCGGCTAACAACTATTCCGGTTTCCTCATCCAGCGTAGCAAAGTTTGACTGGTATTGAAAATTGAAAAGGTAAAAAATATGCCAAAGATAACACTTTCACCTCATATACAAAGAGAAGTACCAAAAAGTGCAGTGAAATTTAAATCACAGAATAGGCTCAATGGTTAGCAAATGACAGTGTTGTGCATATATCTTGGTATTCATCTTAGAGTAGATGACAACAATTTCTCAGACCAATAACCCACTCCCAATTAACGTCTCAGATATTGTTCCCTCTCTCAAACTCGATAATAGAGAAAAGGCAGAATACATGATAATATTTGAGAATCCCTGTGTTTACTCAACCAAAACTCAATGTGCGGATAAGATAGCCAAGCAGGATATACAGTTATTGCTTGTAGTTCAAAGAACAATGACAGTGAGCAAGCTTGCTGTTTACTCAGTATGGTGTGTCCTGCGGTTCTTTTCGCTCTGTGTACCAGAGAAATCCTTCTTTTTTTTTTCCTTCAGAGTTCAGGGGCAGTTAGTTAACACCTATGTTTTGACCCACTTATCATGAATTCATTTTGTATAAAAGAAGTTCCTTTATGAAAGCTAAGCCTCACTCTTATGTCTACTTATGTTTAAACTCATGTGTTGGAAACTAAGGTCCTAGCAATTCCTTCGTTTTTTACGATTATGTAATGCTATTTGATTCATGTAGAGTTGGTCAGCTCATACTACCATACATATATAACACCTCTAAGAGACAAGGAAAGATTCATACCTTAAATGCAATATCTCCTGGTGACATTGCCAACCCAGCACCCATCGACTCAAATGCACCCCGACCTCGATAGTATACCCTAGGGTCATATCCAAGTAGAGAAAGATGCGCGGTATCACTTCCACAACCTAAGCCAACTTCAACAGGATCCATCAGACCATTAACTCCAGCAGATGCTATAGCATCCAAATTTGGTATTTTTGCCAATTGAAGTGGGGTTTTATAACCAAATCTTGGGAGAGATACATCTCCTACACCATCAATAAGCACAAAAGCAACTCTTCTCTTTGGCTGCTCCAAGTTAACCATACTTCCTCACAACTAAGGCTTATTAACTATCAGGGCTGAATGCCTCAAAACTCATAAATATCCAAACCTGTAAGTAATATATATATATATATAAGGAATCAAATTGAATTTCAGTAACATATTTATGAATTTTGCGTAGACAAACAAGAATCAACAACAATATTGAAATTTCAACAAAAAAAAAATATATTGCGCCAAATTGAATCACAAATCTATTTGTAGAACTGCAAGAATCGATCAATTGTTGTATTAAACCTACTGGTCAACTTACAATATCTATGATCTATCGGGCGCAGACCATTTCACAACACAAAAGATTGGCTGATACACTGGGACTGGGAGTGAAGATTTGGAGAGAGACAAGGCGGAGGCTTGAGGAAAATGGAAGCTCGAGCGGTTAAGGGGTTTTCTATATGGAAAGAGGGATTCTTTAAGAATAAAAATAATTTCTAAAATTTGTTATTCACTTGTTAATATATTTTTTTTAAAAATAGTTACTATAATATATTAATATTAACTTAATATTGCAGTACACAATTTTATTTGTTGTAGCATTATTGTTGGTGTAATATACCACGAATAATATAAAGAAGGAGAAATTATGCATGTAAGCAAACATGTATTAGTTAATTAGTTAATATAGCTATAGTTTGCCTTAATTATAATTTGTGACCAACTTTTAGCTATAATTATACGGCTCAGCTTTTTAGTTTTGTATAATTTGAAATTTGTTTAATATAATTTGTATAACTTTTGTATAATTCGAAATTTGTATAATCGTTTACACTTCAGATGTTTGTAATTGTATAAATTCGTTATTTCGAGTTTATACAAAAATAACTAAATTATACAAATGTACTCGTGAATTATACAAACCTGCAAACTATACAAACGAGACAGCTTAAACTGTAACTACATCCCGTAAATATGCAAACTATAGCTATGAGCATAATTAAGTTTATTATAGTGACTATTTGCGAAAGTTCCCCTATAAATTATAGTTGAAATAAAATGAACAAAAATGAATAAACAAATCTTTAGGCTGAGGCACGAATATCTCACTCTCTTTAAGGAGATTCAAACTCACTGCAGCATAATCTACACCGATCTAGCAGTATCACTCTTGACTGTCCCCTCCAGGATACAACAGTTCAACAATGTGTACAACTCCAAATTGGTTGAAGAGTACAAAACTCCACAACAGAAACACTTTCCCTCAACATATAATTACTCTCATTTGTATAGTGAATATAGTTGAAGAGTTAAAATATTTTCTTTGTCTCAACTCTCTCTTTCACTACACTAACTCAATATACACAATATAATACTACTCATCTTTTTCACTCTATATTTTCTTGTACATCTCTTCCTTCTTCTTCCTAACACAAAGGAAGACCACACTATTTATAGGTGATGAATTTTTCTTTGTAATGAATAGGAAGATAGTAGGTAGTAAATTTGCCAAATGAATGGCTCAAATGTTCCATAAGTTACAAGACATAAAGATAGAATAATGGGTGAAACGAAGAGTTGGTGGTTACATAAGTTACTAAAAACTAGTGATCACTTTCTTCCACAATTGATGAGAGTAAAAAGGCACAAATGTAATGTCCACCAATAGAAATAACATGATATATAATGTGACATATAATATATTTTATTAATATTAAAACATCACATCAACAATTATAATATTAATGATTCTGACCTAGACTCTCCATACCTAGAGCTCGAACTCAACACCTCTGGTTAACGGTGAAGTAGTCACTTAACTAGTTTAAGAAGGAACAACATTTCTGACAATTCTAACCCAAAAAAAAAAAAAAACCATTTCTGACAATTGCCAACTAACAAGGTTTACTTGATAAAGCAAAGATTAAAGATTATAAAGCAAAGATTCTCAATAATTGTCTAGTGGATATAATTCATATACACACAATTCTCACATCATTTATTTAGAAATATTAAAGAATATCAACAACGAAAATATTGCGCAAACTAATGACAAACAAGTAACAGAACAGTCATCAGGATTATGCATTGAACCAAGATGTTGACAACATAATGATAAACAAATAAAAAAAAACACAAAAATAAAACTTGGGTATGAAAAGTAAAACACTTTTTAATGATAAAAGGAAAAAGGGTCTGAAAAATACTCTAACTTTGGTCGAAATTGATGTTATGATACCGAACTTTATGGAGGACCTTTTACCCCCTGCACTATTTAATAGTGTATTTTAAAGGTATATATGTGTCCACGTGGACACATTACTATTTAAAATGATGCAATATTTATGATGTCCACGTAGGCACATATATATCTTTAAAATACACTATTAAATAGTACAGGGGGGTAAACGGTCCTTTCCAAAGTTTGGTATCGTAACAACAATTTCGACCAAAGTTAAAGTATTTTTCAGACCCTTTTCCATGATAAAATTGAGAGTTTTTATTTCCTAAACAGATAAAACACCAAAGATTCTTGAATTTGAAATGGTGAAATCAAAAGGGTGTTTGAGAAACAATTAAAACAAAAACAAACAAAAAACACAACAGACAGAAAAAACCACAAAATCAAGAATTCGGGCATGAAAAATAAGACTTAACTTTTAGGGAAAAAGGTTCGAAATATATCCGAACTTTGACTGAAATTGTTGTAACAATCTCAAACTTTAGGCAGGGGGTAATAGGTACTGCCAGAAGTTTGGTATTGTTACAACAATTTCAGTCAAAATTCAGATATATTTCAGACCTTTTTTCTCAACTTTTAAAGATATAGTTTAGAGCTTTGTACCATTTTAGATCAATAAACACAACAAACTCCAATGGATTCTTGAAATTCATATGGTGAAATCAAAAGGGTATTCTACATTTTTTTTTTATCAATAGGTGTTACAAATAAGAAGTTTATACTTCATGAAAAAATAAGAATAACTATATATATTTACCTATTGATACATTAACATTTGGTAAGACTTTCATCTCAACATTTCTATCTGAATCTCTCTCAAGGACATGCAAAATTCATATATTATATTGAAGTTTAGTTCCTTTTTTTTTCTATTTGTGATTCTTCTGGTCTCACACACACAAAAAAAATATGACTTTTTAAAGGTTCTTGGATGTTCACTCTGCCACTAATGATTTGGGTTTTGTATTTTTCGATAACTAATAGAACTAAATTTAAAATAAAAACTTTATATATCTATTCAACTAAATATAGAAATCGGAGAAAAATTATTAAAGATCAAGAGAAATAGAGAAAAAAAACATAGAAAGACTAAAACTTTGTAAATCAAATCTAAAAATTGAAGAGAAAGATAAAGGAATTACAAATTATTAACTTGTAGTAGAAGAGTAGTATGGAATATGACATGAATGATGAAGGTGAGTGGAAGATGGTATTGGATGCAACTCACAATACGAGGTGGAATAAAGGGCAACAAAAGAAATGACAAAAATGCCCTTAATATTTAGGGTTTTTATATAATTTTTTTAAAATAAAAATAATTTATAATATTATTTACTTGTTAATATTTTTACAAAAATAGTTTTAATATTACATTAGTACTAATTATATGGTGATCCTATTAACTTAATGTTTTGGTATACTTTTATTTGTTATCATATTGTGATATTATTTTGATAGCTATAATCAACTAGGTATCGATTTTACCATTGATAATTTGATTTATCATATTTGAGATCTATTATTTGTAATTATTTAAAAATATTTTTAAATAAATAAGTAGAATTTTATATCAAAATTACTAGATAATTTTATATATGTAGAATTTGTGGACATTTAAATTTCTTTTCAATCATAAATTGGATTATTAATTACTTCTTAAATGGTTGTTGAAAGGAGAGCAGTGATAAAGTATATTCCAAAAATGCAATAAGATCATGACAATTTTGTTATAATAGATGATAGCTTATGTATTGATATTGAATGATGAATGGTTAATTTTTAATTTGATTTGAAAAAAAAATTATTTTTAATTAGAATTAAAGAAAAAATATTCTTAAAAAGAGATCTCGAAATATCATAATTAAATGGTTATGAAAAAATTGTTTTAATCAAAAGTTCTGTACTAATCACATCACATGATTCATTCCATCCTTACATTAACTTTTTATTACATTTATCACATAAAATACTACTTATCCAGTGTTGGGTTTCATGTGCTTTTATCAAGTTATTCTTCTTTTTTTTAATTTATGTAATTTGATTTATAATTATTAGGTTTTTGAAAGTGTCCATATATATATATATATATATATATATATATATTAAAGCAAGGACTAAAACACTAAAAAAAAAAGACAAGTAGCTAGTAAAATTTTGTCATGTGTATAAGTTTAGAATAAATCTAAAAAAAATGGAGTTTGAAAATATTAAAATTAATAATTATGAACATATGAAAAAGACAGAGAAAATTTAAGAATAAAAGGTAATTTTAATTCAATATATATATATATCTTCAAATATAAAAATAACGAGACTTATTTTGAAGATATACATACTTGTCTTCTATTTATCTATATGATAAAAGGAGGGTAATTTGCAATGTGGTTAAATTAAGTGGAAGCTATTGAAAAGCCATTTGATAATTTAAAAAAATAAATAAATATTGTAATAAATTTTTTGAACTGTTAATTTTGAATTAAAATATATGTAGAAATGATGGTATGCTATCAAACTCTTATTTTTTTCTTAATGGAGTTCTAAATGGACTCTTTTAAAAATATTTATCGTGTATATATAGATTGCTTTTTAACCAAATATATTTGTTAAGTTTGAAATTAAAATATAATATCATCTCAAAGATAAACTTAGACATTTCGAAAAATAAAAATGATTAGATGTTTTCTAACTCACAAAAACATAAATTTACCCAAATTTCATGTACTAACAGAAGATATAAATCAGAGTTCTAAGTAGTATTTCTTCGAGGAAAATCCTATTTTTGTATACTAATTTCAATAATAAATACAAAATATATAGATTAATCATGTATTAAATTGTATGTTCATGATTGCATTTTATAGTAATTTATTTTATTTATTTATTACTCTTGTTTTGGCGCAAAGTTTAAGGCAATAAAGATTTTTTTTTTAATATTGTAATTTTAAATCAAACATATGTCAAATATATCAAAAATCCTTTAATTTTGTGTCTTATACATGTCATGTGAAAAATTAGAATTAAGAAGTTGCTAAGAATAAATTATAATTTTTTTTTAAAAAAAAAGGGACTAAGAAAAAAGTAGGACAAATAAGTTGAAACAGAATGGAGTATTTGATTTTTGTGTAAGGTAAAATAACCAAAAATAAAGATTTGTCTTGAAAAAGTTCAACAAAATGTATTGTAAAACTAAAAGTGTACCTTATTA